ATTTGTAGAGGAATTTGAGTTTGATATTGCCAAATATTTAAAACATTGAAAAGTGTCTAAGGTTACGAATCGGTACATTAAAGTTTAATCGTTCTAAGAAAGATGAACATTCAATAAACCATTTTATGAGATTAATTGCAAAAGATCATGCAAGAAAAGAAGTTCTACTATTCAAGGTTTCGAGACAACCTGATTCGTAAAGAGGAAAGGGTTCAGTGAGCATATTTAATACAAAGTTTTTGTATACGTTCTATTCTATTAATATGGCATGCGTGATAGGGTCCCCAGATAAAGGAGGCATAGTCTAATTTTGATCTCACTAAGGTTGCGTAAAAAACCTTTAACGTATATGGGTCTTAAAATGGTAGACTGTTACTCCGAATGAAGGCTAACGCTTTAGAAACGATATAATTGATATGTAACGAAAAACTTAATTTTGTGTCAAAAAAGAGACCTAGGTCTTTAACTTCAGTAGCTCGCTTGAGCCTGGAGTCTGAGATGAACTAACTTGAAGGTGTTGGACTGTGCCTTCTAGTGAAGGTAGGAAGGAGCTATTTTCAATATTCAGGAATAGGCGGTTCCGAGTACACCAACAGTTAAATTTATCAAGCTCAGACTGAAGTGTTTCAGAGTCTTCACGATTCCTTATAATAGAGTATATCTTATGGTAGTCTGCATATAAAAGAAATTTCGAAGAAAAAAACAGGACCCAATGTCATCCATAAATAATAAAAAAAAATAAAGGCCCTAGAATGCTACCTTGCGGGACCCCCGATGGCGCCACAATAGGTTGGAAAAAACTTAAACAAATAGTTGATTTAGGAGTGTAAGCGTACAAAAAGCAGTTCTTTTTTTGAAAATAAATAAAGCGTGTTATTTTTTCGACTAACATCAGTCACAGCCATAACACCCTCCACGTGTTTTTTCCGTTACGCGCCGAGAAACACTGGTTAGCAGTTGAACGTTTCGTTCAGTACCTTTATGTGGCATGCAACTTGTGGATCAGGAAGTGGTGGGTCTGCAAATTCTAAATATTCCTTCAAATGCTTATACGGAATGTTTCTATTAATTGGCGGTTCTGTTAAAATATTGTCATCATCAAAATCTATCATACTGAAATATTTGGAGCAGTCATAATTAGTTTTAAATTTCTAAAGAATTATTGCAAACATCAATTGTGAATAAATTAGATTCAGTATTTACTGATTTATCGAAGAATTCGCATTTCTCTAAACTACCGTTATATGGAATGTGGGCGTGGACCAATAAGGCCGATTTTAAAAAATTTCAGCCCTTTGGTATGTCGTACCAAGGCCAACAACTGTGTTTGGGAGAAATTGGTGAAGCGGTTACCAAGATACACACTCATCACACTCAGAATCATACGTGGGCGTGGTTACGCCCATTTTCAAAATATTTAAAATATTTTTTACTATTCGTCTAAAAATCACTAAAATATCGCAGTTTTGGTATTTCTGAAAATGACCGTTATATGGGAGGTAGGCGTAGTTATTTTCCGATTTTGCCCATCCATCCTACGCTGAAAAGAAGTACACGTACCTGCTTTCGTTGAGATATCTAAATTTTTACTCGAGTTATCGTGTGCACAGACGGACAGACAGTCACCGCTAAATCGATATCTTTTTTCATTCTGACCATTTATGTTTATATTTGTCTATATGTACCTCGATTCGTTTTGCCTGTTACAAGCAAGGAGGACTTAAAAACTTAGTCGTTTAAGTACTTTCATAAAAATATACTGCTTTTTGTACCCTTACACTTATACATTAGGTATTTGTTTAAGCTTTTCCCACAAAATTTTATATAACCTGATATGAAACTTCCTCTTAAAATTCGCTGGCTCGAAATTGGTTTTAGACCCATGGTTTCTTAAACAAAGTTGCATATGCGATTTTTCCGCTTTTTGGTCCGCTATAACCCGCTCTAATGTACATTCCAAATATGAATCTTATGGGAGCATACAAATTGATGTTTCATACTGCATTGTCATCGGGCTTCGAAATAGGCCTGAAGTTTCAAGTCTCTAGCTCATCGGGAAGATGAAAATAAATTGATTGCATGATTGGATTACACATAGGTGAATAATAATAAAGTTTTGTCAAAATAAAAGCCATTAAGTCTATTTTCACATGCCAGTTGTTTAAGTTGGTTTTGTCATTGCCCAGTGGAAGTTCAGCATAAAACAAGAAAATTCCTGCTCTAAAATACAATTAAACCTCTTGACTTTTTCATAACCTTTGGACCGGAGAACCCGACTGAAGTTGAAATTCAAAAGGTTCCTCGTTTTCCTTCTCTAAAATAAAAAAAAAAACCATGTACTATTTTGGTAAGTTTGTGCAGATTGAAAATGAAAATCTAGCGAACTGTGTTATTATCTGCAATACATATCGTCGTTTAAAGTACAAAACCGCGTATCGTCACTCTGCAAAATCGCGTAACCGACATTAGCTGCCAAAAACTGGATTTGCTCACACAAGCTCTTGGCTCAATCCTTATCCATTCTACCTGAAATATTCCAGCCAGAAATGCGATTACTTTATAAAAAAGAGAACCATTTTGAAATATGAATGTTTTTACACTGTAGAAAATAATTTATACAACCTCACATACGCGGTTTTGCATTTTGTTGATACGCCGTTCGTTCGTTATCATTTCCCACCATTAAATTATTAAAACAACATTGTTGCAACATAGAAACTCAACTGCCATTCAATTGGCCTAGTGGCCCTAAACTTCCCTAATCTGATCCGCTGCAACCATAAAGTACGCAACGAAAAAAATAAATAAAATTAAATCAAAACATTGGGCACACCTTAATCCACTTCAGTGGACACTCGATATAGCCACTCAAAAGTCAACAACAGTTATTGCAGCATAAGCCAGATAGGTAAACGAACATTAAACATTAAAGCGTGCAACCAATTTCGCTGTGTAGATGTAGCTTGTAATTGAATAAGTAAATGTAAAATGTGTCTCAAAGAGTGTGGGAATAAATCAAAAAGCGATGATTGAACGACAAATATCGGGTCAAGATGGCTAGTAAACTAGGTTAATCAGTTACGACAAGAGAAACAAATGACAACAATTACAACAGGGAGTTGAAATTGAAAATAAATATTATTCATGAATACTTGAACATACTTACATAATTATGTATGTATTTACTTATGTAATTTTTTATGTAAAGCAATCATTTACATACATATCGTACAACTACTTCAAAGGGGACACAACTCAAAATTACCCGCTTGCCAGGAAATACGAAAAACAATTTTTTTTGAATTCACTTAACCTTAGATATTTTCAACAAATTACAACAAAATTTGCACCAGCTTTTGCTCGAAAATAAACAAAAGGTCTATGCATATTTTTTAGCGCATAATTTCAAAAATTATGACATTTGACTTGTGTCACCTTTGAAGTGGGGTAAGCGATATGTATGTATGTACATACTAGGGCCTTCAATCTCGGGATCAATTTGATCAATTGAATTTCAAGAGGTTCGTCGTCGGATACATATTACCTTTGATGTCACAACACCCATGCCACTAAGCAATTAGTTTGTGAAATGTCTCAACCTAATAAACATAGAAATACAAATTTTCAAACCTTGGAAAAAATCATACTTTTCAATTTGATTTTCGCCATGGCCTATTGTTTGAAACTAAAAACTTTTCAAAAATTCCTCAGATGTTTACCTTGAGGATACCCTTACCTGCGTTCGCCCCTGTTTTCTGGAAATATTAGGTGGCACGAATCTTTCCTTTGCCTACATGAATACTGGTCGCGAGTAACGCAAAACAGAGAAACTTTATTCGCTTTAGCGACCTTCCATTTGTGACGCAAATAGCATCGAATATTGTTTCATTTGTTTTACATTTTTATCCGCGTTTTCTAAAAAGGAATTAAAATTTCTTGCAGCGAACAATTTCTTCACGTAACAAAGGGTTAAATTTTTCAAACTTTTATTTTCATTTATTCATATATCTGGTTTACTTTATTACACTGTGGATGATCTTAGGCTGAAAAGTATTTTGATATACTAAGTCGGCGTGGCACCGCATATACATATTAGATATTTCAACTTACAAATATATCGCGGGAAGTATTTGCCTAAGGGCACTGAAATTTTGTACGAAGATATGTAAAATTAATTCAGTACTCAAAAATGCGGTACCTCCAATACAAACTGAATACTTATACTTAATATCTGTGAAATAATTTGTGGCAGAGAAGTGGAACTCATCGGGAAAAATGGACGTAGTTCGAAATGTGGGCGTCGTACCTCCCATACAAATTTGCATACTGAGTATCTCTGAAAGGGTTACAGTAGAACTGAACTGATTGTTCATTAATCAGATTTTGTTTTAAAATTCCTTCATTTAGAACCTCCATACCACTGATTCATCAGATATGAGTTTTTATTATTAATTTCCTCCATTTAATTGGCTATACTTTACTATAGATTACATTTTTCTTTTATTCCTGAAAGTTATGAGGCCTTCGGCATAATCGAAGACCGCACTATCCATTCTTGTTGTTACGTCAGCAGAGATACCTTATAATACATACGAGTACAGACATACATATATATGTATGTACATATGTAGATACGAACCCACGATGTAGAGAACAAAGGTGGCGCCCATCTCGGTACCGCTATACCGCTCTAAGAGAATTTGACAGAATCGCTATTTGTATGACGTCACACTTGTTCGACTAGTTGTAGTTTTTCTAGCAAAATTTCTTATTCTTCTTCCATTCGTGCTCGCGTTTTGGCATTTATCTCTCGCAAATGCACCAGTGTAACGTCAAACAAAAATTATTGTAAAAAATTCTCTCTTATGGGCGCAACTTGTATTCTTTCATTACTGATACGAACCCACATACGTAAATTAATTCGGTTCAAAAACTTGTTTGTACTCGAACTTTTTTCAAGGTTCGCAGATATGAATATCGTTAAATTGGTAACAACTTACCTCAAGCACAAAATCAAATTCTTTGGTTTCATTCCATTTCTCATCATCGCCGTCGTCATCCCAACGTTGGTGGCCCTCATCAATGCCCTCATCGATACAGTCATCATCGTTTTCTGAAAAGTAGAAAAGTTTAATTTATTCGAATATTTTTAAGCTCTTCAAAACTTCAAACATGCACATGCATAAACAAGTAACGGCGCGGCTTTTAAAATGCATCATTTAGTATTCACTGGTATGAAAAAAGTTAAAATTATCTCGAAAGAGCAACGATGTCTATGAATTTTGCAACCCTACAATCCCAGCCCTCCCTGCTACTTCCTATACCCCTACCATTCATTGCCCCTTTGTGCCACTTAATGTCGATCAAAAAATACTGCGACATAAAAAATTCGCTAACCAGGGCAATAGACACGCGTCCTTGAAAAATCAGACCCGCTCTTAATTCGCTGTCTGGCATCGGTTTATGAAGCGGCGCGCTGCACTAACACACAGCGATGCAGGAAAAGATATTCGATTTGCTGTGAGACAGAATTACAGACAGCTGATCACTAACCGCTAACCGCCAAATGGCGACCGCAGATTACAAATCACAGATAACCGACAGATGGTGACACGACGGTTGTGGTTTTCCGCAAAACCAAAAATTACAATAACACAGCATTAACATTCAAAACAAACCAATGAAAAATAATGCAAAACAAAAACAATTGAATTGGCGGAGGTGCACCGAACATGAAAATGGCAAAACATTTAATGGAAACAGTCAAATAAATTGAAATAATCAGCGTGAAGCAAAAAAAATCGCGAAAAATATGGAAAAGTAAGGTAAAAAAAGCTTGCAATATACTGTATCGCATCTTGTGTTGCTTAAATAGGGAGAAATAGTGCAAAAAAAAATAAATAAAGGTAAGGAAATGAAAGAATGAATCAAACGCTGGCGGTGGCGCCGATTCGTCATCCACTACTGGTGTACAGCTGCACCGGTGCGAGTGTTGACATCACGTGCTGCCAATTGTTCCAAGTCATAAAAAATTATTTAATTACGTATTTACGTATGCACATACATACATATGTTTGTTTGTTTATTTAATTATTTTGTACAAACATCAGTCAGTACGCTGCGGGGGCCTGCCAAAAATGACAATAGTTGATTCACGATTAGGTGATTAGTTTTAGGAAGTTCTTTGGAAAACTAGGAAAACAATTTTTTTTAAACAAAAAAATTGGAATTTCCAAAACTTTTAATAGATATTTGATACCCAAAACCATATGGATTAGACTATTTAAATTTTCTAGGCATTCAAGCCTGGTTGGTCATTGTACCTAAGGTACGCGAAAACCAGTGGGCGTGGGAAATAATTACATTTCGGCAAACTTTTCAGTCTCTTTGATGAATATATGTAAGTCATTTGCCCCAAAAATGCACCATCTCTGTGGGGCCAAAGACCAGACAGTTGCCGAGAAAATGCTTTTCACTTTCTATCCTCATCTTCTTAAGATGTCGTAGGGACTCGCACTACGGCAAACATATTTCGTCCTTATGGATTGTGTCTCGTTATAAATCCTATCACCGCGCGTAACACACGCGTAAGATCCCTATTGTACCTAACAGTTTCTGGTATATTTGGCACTACACATCATAAAAAAGCCATAAGTTTTAATCGATCTATTTTACAACGATTTTACACAGTTTTATATTTATTTTTTACACACATTTTTTTATATTTATGTAAGTAATACAAACATAACTTCTGATGTAGAGCTTTAATTAATCAACTATAACGACAGTTTCCTTTGTTAACTAAAAATAATTTAATGCATTTATTAGTCTTTAAACTTTATTAAAATTAAACGTGAAAATTTAAGCTGAAAACACATTTAATCAAATTTAGTAACTATTTAACATAAGAGACCAGCAAGCAAATCTCAAAGTTTCAGACTCTTCCTTCATCTCACCCAAAGTAAGTATTTATGTATATAATTTTCGCATTATGAAATAAAAAAAATAAAAAATATTATTGTTTTCGTTTGGCATATTCGTAATATTGTTACTTTAAGAACATACTTTCGGAGGCGTTAAACAAATTCTATGAAATAATATTTTGGAAACTTTGTGTACTAACTACATTGTTTTGCAATTGAAAGGCTTTGTCAAGAAAACTGTTTACACCAAGTTAGATATTGAAAATGCTACAAAAAGAAATACATTTCATTGACGCATGCTTATCTCGAGAATGGGTCATCGTGCAGCTTCCTAAGTAAAAACACTATCAGCTGGCCTTAAAATAGGTTTGAAAAGATTTTTAAAACAAATGGGGCCTACTCACTCCCAAAAATATTAAAATACTCCTCAAAAATTAAGTTTTTTACTACTCTAAGTGAAAAAGGCTGCACTGGGCCGATGTAAGTTTTACGTAAAACGTTTAACAAGTTGTATGGAATGTTTTCCATATTATAGCAAGCACATATAAGCGCTAGTAGACTCTCACATATGTAGCTATGAATCCGAGAATATTCTTGCCTTTGATGATTGATGCATATTAGGCTGAACAACTAACCTAACAAATGTATGACCTTAAAAGGACCTATATACGCTGAGAAATTCTCCTATTTGGAAAAATTTGTATTGCAATATTAAAAGGTAATAATAATAATTTTTGTTTTCATTAAAAATATTATAACTATTGAACCATTGAGACCCTGAAGTTGGTTGTCTTAGAAACGTTTAAGAGTATGTATTAAAATATTTAATGATATTGCTGAACGAAGTATAGCGTTGGTACAAAATTATAATCGAACTTTGGCGAAAGACGAAGAACAAAAGCAATTTTTTTTTGCAAGTAGCGCAATTACATCGCACAGTGGTTCAAAACTGGCATTTAGTGTTCACAATTCACTGGAGCCTTAATTTTTAATTCAATTTGATTAACTTTTTCTAATGAAAGCCAATAAAATTTGCAACAGACCAGTTGAGCCCGATTTTTGAATTTTTGTTTGCTTTTATTAAGTTTTTTAGTGCAAAGTGCACAAAAAGTAGGAATTTTGAAGAAAATCGATTCTCCTGCTCCAGTTAATAAATGTTACATAGTAAAAACTAGTTAAAAACAATTGTGGGGTCCTCCCAAAACGAAAAAGAATTTCACAAGAAAAACTTGCAATGTTATAAAAAAAAATGTTTCACCAAAATAAATAAATTGTTAAGATTACGAAGAAGATGGAACCGAACGAGCTTTTTAATGACATTGATATAATAGTTTAGCGAATTGGTTTATCTTACCTTCCGCTGTCATGTAGGTGATCAGTTCTTCTAATTCATGTGACATTTGACACTGTTCATCCACTGCCAAGTTATAATCCAAGGCGGTGTACACAACTACTGCCACTTTGCGCAGGATCTGTAATGAAGGAGAAAATATTTCATAAGATTTAGTTTATTGATATAGTTTAATAAATGCTAAGTAACAAAAAGAGTTTAGTATCCCAGTGGGAAAATGTAATGTATAGTAATCAAAAAAATAATCAGTAAAACAACCCTTTTCACATTCGAAAATGCATTTTTTCCCCCAGGGCGATGTTCTAAGAAAAGTGGGGCATAGTATCGAGAAATGAATGTGTTTTAATATGAAATTTTTGGAAATTTTTGAACACATTATAATGCTGATTACATAGTTAGCAGTAATATTATCGAGAACGCATAAGAAATACATTATATTATTTATCACGCATGCAATGCATTAATACTTTTCCGATTGGGGTGTTTCTCATTTTATTATTCTAACGTAACGTTGCATAAGAATAATGAATATGCAGATCTACATATATCCTACTTAAAACGTTTTCGGTTCCCAGTAGAAATCGGTTGTATGCATTCATGAAGTATGCATTCATGAAGTATGCATGTTGTATGAGTGAATTAGTGTGAACAATTGAGTAGTCCACTTGCAACCAACGTTATGTGATTTTATAATAGAAAGCCATAAATTTGAAAAAAAACGACTACGACAACAAGTAACATTAAAATTGAATCTTTTTTATTATTACCTGAAAATTTGGATAAATAAGAGCCTTATAAAATTGTAACATAACATAACATGACATAAGATAACATTAACAGTCTATACGACCTAAAGCAGTTTTCTAAGTTCATCAGAAGATGTATAGTTTTGAAAGTTTATAAATAAGTGTGATAGCGACTTTTGGAAGAAGACTTAACATTTGATGCTATTTTTTTGAGAATATAAAAAGATTTTGCACTCTGTTGTTACTGGACATGAAACTACTCTAAATACTGGTACGTAATCCACCAAAAACTAAAAATCCATAGCGCACTTTGCAAGTGGACTACTCAATTCATGCGTTAACATGAATTTCCACAAATAAATTCAAATTCTAGCGAATTGCAAGCGAACGTTCGTTGTTGTTATTTTAAGTACCCTTCTTGATAAATCTGAAGTGGAATTTTTGTAATATTTTCAGTCTTGTACAAACATTTTAGTGAACGGACTCGTTGTGCGATAATATTTTCAGCACTAGCGGGATTTTACAATATATGCATTTGCATATGTAAATGCTGCTTTTCTGTATGTCCCCGTATATTAAAATGTATTAGAAAAGTAGCATTTACATATGGGGATACATATGTATCTTGAAAGAATGCTTTAATACTGTTCCATTAATGCATTTACAACAGTGGTAAAAGTGTATACTTAGCGTACGCATGCGCTCTGAGAAACCACACGTGTTAAATGGAAATGAAGGTTCATTTATACTGGCATGTATGCATACACAGCACCAAGCTCATGTCACCAACAGCGATTTCGTATGCATAAAATTTCGACTGGGTTATTACGATAACTTTGAAACATTTCTAAGTATTAGTGAATGTGCGGTCTGTGGCGGACAAGAGCTTAGAGCAGGAGCTGACTCTATCCAAGCCAAAAACCTTTCATTAATCCCATCAATACCAGAAGCATTATAATGGCTACTAGTAGATACCCGAAAACCTATAATAAATATTATGTGCAAACATATATTACGTAATTAATTTTTTCGCTTTATTTGCAATGAAGAAAATGCAAAACGTGTCTTTGGCGCCTGACTGATCGCACGCGATTACATTTACTCGAAGGCACATCTTCAGCACTGCGTTATTTTCATTGATTATATGTAATTTAATTAGAGTCTTTTTGCGGACTTGGAAGTCATGAAACTGCAAATATATGCAGATGCGAGTCACTGAAGCAGCAAAAGTGGCAGATACAAGTGTTTTCGGTATTTCAGAAAAAAGAAGAAGAAGAAGACACCATCCAAAAAACAAGCAACTTAAAAAACCATGGCTTACACGCCGCCGATGGGCAAGTGTGCGAGTAACTTTCGCTTTTCATTACGATTTGTTAATGAAATATGTATGTAGGCTTGAATAGGCATGAAGCTGGAGGCTTTTGGCCTTTGGCATGTTGGCCCGTTGGCTACCAAGCAATGAAGTAACACAACTATAAATGATATTTTTCAGTAAATGTTGAGGCGGCACAGTGTTGTACACATCTTCGAGCGACGGATGTTTAAACCGTAACTAACATTAGCTCCTTTTTCACAATATTCAATATTCAATACAAATTCAAATGCATAAATATTACACAAACACAAACACTTACACACATTCGCATAGGTATGTCGTAAAACAAAAAAAGCCTATTTATTGTTTAATAATTTTATGCTTTCCATTGGTGTGCATTTCTATTGCTTATGTCACATCATTGTTTTGTGTTTTTTTTTAGGTACCGTAACGTTTTCAGTGCGCTAACGGAATTAATAGCATTGACTGTGGCATTGTGACATCACAACTTCGGGCTAAACATCTGTAGAAGATGAGCGCCCGCTGGCTATAGAGCGTACTGCGCAGCCGCCCACTCGTCTCAAACGGAACAGTGGAACGGAAAATGGTCGACCGGTTGCTGAACTTTTCATTGGCGTCGATCGTATCTCTGCGATTATGGTCAACACCAGGGTTGCCACTTTGGTAAATTGTTACCAAAATTGGTAGAAAAAAATTGGGTTGGTAAAAAGGTAAATTTTTTCTCTTTTTGGTAGATTTTTGTTGAATTATTTAGTTTGAAAAAAAAATAAAACTTTTCGTTTCCGTTTTATGTTTCGTAGTTATTTCTTTATAAGAAATTTCTTTCCAAAAGTGCAGTGTACTTTATTGCATTAATTTTCTAACACTTTAATGCACACTTTTTATATATGTACATACGAATAAATGTATATTGATAAAAGGCGAACATTCAAAAATCTTTTTACGGGAATTCCGAGAAGTTTTTGATTGTCTAAATACTTTAAATGATTATTTAAATAAAAAAAGAACGGACAAGTATGTATTTACCCACTTCGAGCCTTCGAAAAAAAATTAAATCAACGAATATTTTTATCAATGGCAATTGTTAAATAAAAATAAAAAACACAAAATACTGGCGGCAAAAAAATTAAAAACTGCCAACGGGAATTTTTAGCTGGAAATTGTTGATTAGTCTCAAGTATTATGGGCTATAAAACTCCATAATTTGAATTTTTTTAAACGTTGTATTTAGCTTGAAACCTTGATTTTTAAATGTTTGGCTAAAGCGCAAACAATATTCTTATA